CAATGTCAGGCCATGAGAGCAGCCACAGGGCTTAAACACTGCAAAGTCACAGGGTGGAGCTGCCCAAGGTTTTGGGAGTCCACCTCTTGCACCAGTGTGCCCTAGATGTGAGACATAGAGTCAAGAGAGATTATTTTGGAGCTCTAAGATTTAATGACTGCCCTGATGGGTTTCGGATTTGCATGGGGCCTGTAGCCTCTTTCTTTAGGCCAATTTTTCCATTTGGGTGTAGGAATGTTTACCCAAAGCCCATACCTCCATTGCATCTTGGAAGTAACCAACTTGTTTTTGATTTTACAGGCTGATAGGGGAAAGGGACTATCTTTGTCTCAGATGAGACATTGGACTCTGTACTTTTGAGTTAATGCTGGAATAAGTTATTAAGATTTTGAGGAACTATCAGGAAGACATGACTGTATTTTGGAATATGAGAGGGACATGAGATTTGGGAGGGATTGTAGCAGAATGATGTGGTTTAGATCTGTATCCCCACCCAAATCGCACGTTGAATTGTAATCCCCAGTGTTGGAGATGGGGCCTGGTGGGAGGTGACTAGATCAAGGGGGCAGATTTCTCTTCTTGGCGCTGTTCTCATGATGGTGAGTTTTCAAGAAACCTGGCTGTTTAAAAGTGGGTGGCACCTTCCACCGCCTCTCTCTCTTCTTCCTGCTCTCGGCCGTATGAAATGCTCACTTCCTCTTTGCCTCTCACCATAATTGCAAGTTTCCTGAGGCCTCCCCAGAAGCCAAGGAGAAGCTGCCTTACTTCCTACATAGCCTGTAGAACTGTGAGCCACTTAAGAATAAACTGTGAGCCACTATGTTCTTCATAAATTACCCAGTCTCAGGTATTCCTTTATAGCAGTGGGAGAATGAAATAATACAACATTCAGTGATGAATACTTTATATACATATAGGTATCTTTCAAATGTAAGCTTTTATGCCTTAGGGCATGACCAGTAAGTCTAATATGAGCTGCAATTGGCCAACACTAGGTCTACTTTAAGGCACTACATTGACTCCTTCAACAGGCTTATGATGCAAAGGGAAATAGAACATAGATGTTGTGGCTAAGTAATAATTTCTTTGTATGATGAGACTTGCATGACCATATGTCCTGGTATGCTCAGGACAGCTCCAATTTGTATCTGTATTGTAGCATATTAATGATGTCACCTTTTATTTTCAAAAATGTCCTGGTAAGAGTGGGTCCTCTCCCCATCCATCCCATTCAGCTCAAAACAGTATGAAAGACAGCAAGCCCAAAATTCTGGGCTCCTCAAACTTAGATGCTATCTGCCTCCTCATGAGTTAGTAAAACTATCAACCTTCTGGCCTACCTTACGAAGTAGATATATCCGCTTTCTTGCATCTTTGATCTTATACATACAAACAGGGCATATACAAAATATTGTCCTGTTTGTTAGGTGATTCCATCGTATACTAAAGTGAGAGCATTTACTGAGTCCAGGTCACCATTCTTACCAATCCTCAAACAAGGGCTTGGCTTTGTGGTCTAACATATCTTGGCAGCAGAACTTTTTTACCTTTTTTTTTTTTCCTAGAGACAGGGTCTTGTCCTGTCACCCAGGCTGGACAATCATAGCTCACTGTAACCTCAAATGCTTAGTGATCCTCCTACCTCAGCCTCCCAAAGAATTGAGATTACAGGCATGAGCTACCACACCTGGCTGACTTCTACATTTTAATGCTCTCAAAATATAAAATATAGAGCAAACCTGGCATCCATATCTTGGTTTCTAAAGCCATAGTTCAGTTAAAATAACCAGAGCTCCTGAAAGTAATGGGATTCTAGGATTGTGGCAGGAAATATACAAGATGAAGTGTCTTGTAGTGTCAGAAAGAAAGTGTTCTCACACACACATTGATAAAAGTGTGTCAAAGGGGCGCATGAGCCAACCCAAAAAACTACCAATGGAAAAGTTGGAATAATTTGAGCAACAAAAAAATTCAATTATAACTCCAAGTACAAAATAAATATCCATGAGTACATACTGATATAAATGATTGAATAAATTAATAAATGAGGGAGAAGAGACAAACCTTGCTCACAGAAGAATTTCAAGTCAAACACGTAGCTGCTCCACCGTAAAAGAGCGGGGTATAACTTGCCACTCCTTCAGTACGGGCAGCAGATAGTGACTTCCTTTCGAACAGTGAAGTATGGAAAGAAGGTGAAAAAAGAGTAACTTGACTTGACAAACACTACTTCAGTCAATTATCAAGGTCAACATAAACCAATATAAATCACTTTGCTGTATGAACCCTTGGTATGACATGTAGAAAATGGCCCTTTACCTCTGTCATCTTCCACCCAAAAACCCACAATTCAATTCCAGAAACACATCAGACGATACCCAATCGAGGAGCACCCTAAATTATACCTGACTAGTACTCCTCAAAACTGTCAAGGTCATCAAAAACAAGGAAAGTCTGAGAAACTGTCATAACCAAGAGGAGCTTAAGGAGACATGACAACTAAATGTAATGAGGTATCCTGGATGGGATACTAGATCGGAAAAAGGACATTAGGCAAAAACTAAAGAAATCCAATATATCAACATTGGCTTGTTAATTATAACAAATGTACCATACTAATATGTTAATAAGGGAAACTGGACATGGAGAATATGGGAGCTCTACTATTTCCACAATTTTTCTATAAATTTAAAACTTTTATGAAGTTTTAAAAAACAAAAGGTACAAAAGATTTTTTAAAATGTGTTTTGAAAGGCTGGGCGCGGTGGCTCACGCCTGTAATCCCAGCACTTCGGGAGGCCAAGGTGGGCAGATCACCTGAGGTCAGGAGTTTGAGATCAGCCTGGCCAATATGGTGAAACTCTTCTCTACTAAAAATACAAAAATTAGCCAAATGCGGTGGCACACGCCCGTAATCCCAGCTACTCAGGAGGCTGAGGCTGGAGAATAGCTTGAACTCGGGAGGAGGAGATTGCAGTGAGCCAAGATTGTACTACTGCACTACAGACAGGGAGACAGAGCAAGACTCTATCTCAGAAAAAAAAAAAAAAAAACTGTTTGAAAAGACAATTCTCCTTAAGTACTTTGTGAGTTTTGCCTTCTTTCTATATAAATCTGATGCTTGTATCAACATGTCTTGGTAGTGGAATACATGAAAAAACTTGGGTTTTGCTTGATAAATTTGGGTGGGGGGGAGCAATCTATTTCTTTTTGAAAACTAAAAGTGTATTAATAGTTTCCCATTTGAGAATGAGCTGTTTTCTAAAAGTTTACATTTAAGTCAACCGTTTGAAACTTGAAACACACTTTTCGACAGAAATTTTAACAATGGTTAATTCCCAGGCCAGCCCAGTGAAGCTGATTAATAAAGCAAAAATAGACATTTTGCTTAATAAAGCAAAAACAGATATTTGTAATAAAAAGTGTGAAAATACATTATGAAAAAACTTGCCTTTTATTTTTTTTTTTGGTGGGGGGGGTGGGGACAGTCTCACTCTATCACCCAGGCTGAAGTGCAATGATGAGATCGTGGCTTACTGTGACCTCTGCCTCCCAGGTCCATTCAATTCTCTTGCCTCAGCCTCCCGAGTAGCTGGGATTATAGACATATGCCACCACACCTGGCTAATTTTTTTATTTTTTGTAAAAATGGGGTTTTGCCATGTTGGCCAGGCTGGGCTTGAATTCCTGGCCTCAAGTGATCTGCCCACCTCAGCCTCCCAAAGTGCCAGGTTAAAACTTACTTTTTAAATTCAAAAGACAAACTTAAACATGCAATTTAAATTTATTTCAAATCTGCCACCCACAGTGTTTGAGCCAGGGCCTAACTTTGGGTCTTTTTGCATATTGCCTTAAACCTAGAAATGCTACCATGCAAACAGGGAAGGGGAAAGAGGAAGGTTTTAATCCAAAGGAAGTGGGAGACAGAGGAACCTCATGCGCAGTTAGAGAAGGCAGGTTTGTTGTTCTAACCCAGATAGAGGGGTTTCTACTCTTATTTCTAGGAACACAATGACACTGGTACCCCACAGAATTGAGGGAGGGACAGAGAGGGGATCTTTGGGTTCTCATAATTCTAGGATCATTAATGCGTTGGCATCCAGAGGGTGGGTAATAGAAATGTCTGTGGGTAGTTGGTGTGCGCAAATGGCCCAGCAGCTAACTCATCAAGCTGGTGGGACTCTGAGCGCACAGGTGTGCTGCGGCAGGCAGCAGTCCTGGGCTCCTCACAGCAGTGCTACCTAGGAGAAAACAAAGAAGAAAGTGGACTCACACAGACCTGCAGAAATGCAGACAGCGTGTGAAGAGGGTTTAAATTTCCAATGTGGTGGACCAGAATGTCTCGATCTATTTCTAGGCCATCTATTCTATTCCGGTGGCCTATTTGCTTACTTCTAAACAAACGCCATACAATGTGGTAGCTTTATAATATAAAAGAGTTTAAAAACAGGTTTATATATTTAAATTCAAGAGAGATCATCTAATGCAGTAACTTGTGCTAACAGGTTAACTCAGTCGTACAAAACTCAAAGACTAAAACTTGTCTTTCCAACTCTGTGTATGTATTTGAACTTTCTACAACCATTAATACCAGAAAAAATTGAATGCTAGACTAATACTGTGTAAAGGAGCAATAGTCAATCTTAATCTGATTACAACTGTTTGAAAAAAGAAGCCTCACTCTTCTGACTGCCGTTATAAAAGTGATGGCTATACAATTGAATTTGTCAAGTTATCCTAATCAAATACTACTTTTCTGATTTATATATATATTTATATATGACTCAAAATAAGATTGTTTATAAAATGGGTTCCATCCAGTACAAGTTTTTACACTACTGTTGTAACACATAAATTTGTGCTGCCTCCAATAGCAATGATTCAAATGTTAGTCTGATTATATAATTCACATTATCACCAAGTACACCCTTTAAAGTGTCTAATTCAGTCACTTTTATAAAGCACGTTCACAAAGTTGTGCATTGATTACCACTGCCCAATTCCTGTTTATCTGATTTTTATTATTAAAAAAAATGGAAAAACAAAAGTGCATTTTTCATTCAATAAATGTTCCATCCTTATGTGGTTTCGTGGCAGAAAGTGAAGTCCATGACTTTAGAATGATAGCAATTTATCAACCAAAGAATCCGTCTTCACACCGTTTCAATAACTGCAGCAATTTCCTTGAACTGTCTGTAGAAATTCTAGAGAGAAATGGGGAAAATAATATTAATTTTGCTTTTAGAAGATATTTAAATAGTTATTTTAATTATATCTGACTACCAGAGACTATATAACATATTCAGTTTGCATTTTAATGTTAACATTCTTAATTACTGAAGGTTGCTGTAAGAAGTAAACAGGTATAATGTGGTACTGCAAGCAAAAATACTACTGTAGAGTGGGATAATTATCTCATGACTAAACTTTTCAAAAAGCACATGAGAAAGTCCTTTTAAGATCACACCAGATTTATTAAATACTCAGCACTGTCCTAGACACTGAAAATAAAAACAAAAATAACAGGTTGGTTCCAGGCCTCAAAACACTTTCAATCTAGTAAAGAATTGCATTTCAGTGTGGTAGGGGCTGTCTCATTTAAGATTATGGGTTCAATTACTAGAAGAGAGATCCAACATTAGCAATGGCTTATATGGTAGAACTTATTTCTCTGTCATTTAAAAATTAAGCTGGTATAATGGTTCTCCTATAGAAGTCATCTTCTTTTAAATCTCAGGTAAGAAAGGAATCAGGCGAATTGTTCTTCTGTCTTCTCCTGTACCTACCAGGAAGCTAGCAGACAAATTTGAAACCTAACCTTGGCAATCAGGATACCTTCTAATGATTTACACATCTGCATTTTCCTTCTTATTTGGTCTTAATTTTTTATTTTGCTACTTAAGAGGATTTGTATTGTTTTAATTTATATGCAAATTTGTCACAGAACAAAGCAAAGTGTAACTATTTCTTTAAAAATATGTATTGATGTTCAAAATTTTAGTTACCAAACAGATATAAATTAAAAGCTCAAAGAATGTTCCTTAGCTCTCAGTCATGTAATGTGATTAACAGGTTATCTTGTGGTCAGTTTTAACCCATGTAAAAACTCTCTTTAAAAGAGTTGCCTCTAATGAAAATGTTTTTGTGTATATTTATATTTAATATGTTTATAATGTATGTATATATGTATATACTATGTATGTGTATACATACACACATAATGGAATATCACACAGCCATAAAAAAAGAAGGAAATCCTGCCATTTGCAACAACATGGATGAATCTGGAGGACACTATGCAAAGTGAAATAAGCCAGACACAGAAAGGCTAATACTGCATCATGTCACTTATGTGGAATCTAAAAAAGTCAAACTCACAGAAGCAGAAAGGAGACTGGAGGTTGCCAGGAGCAGAGGCTGGGGTCAATGGGGAAATGTTAGTAAAAAGGTACAAACTTTTGGTTATAAAATAAGTAAGTCTGAGATCTAATGTACAATATGGTGACTACAGTTAATAATACTGTATTGTTTAGTTGAAATTTGCTAAAAAAAGATTTTACATGCCCTCAACACACACACACTCTGTCCCCCAAAAAAGGTAACTATGTGTGGAGGTGGATGTGTTAATTAGTGTGACTGTGGTAATCATTACAAAATGTGTATGTTTATCAAATCATCACATTGTGAAACCTTCGAAATACACAATTTTGTCAACTGTACCTCAATAAAGCTGTGGAAAAAATTAACCCATTTGTGCTTTTTTTCCCTATGAGAAAAAATTTCTAAAGGTGGAATTAGGATAGCACCAATGCTGCACAGAATAGTAAGAATTAGGCCAGCACTGTGAATTACAAAAAAAACCAAAACGTATATTCTCTCTTGAAATTGACTGAGTCTTCATATTTAGTTGAATGTCATTCCCATATCACAATATACATTTATTTCCTTTTCACTGAGTCTCAGTTCCAAGACACTAATCAACACTAATAATGTTAAATTTGTGAACATTATTTTTGTTTCAAAGCAGGGATATCTATTTTAAATAAAGAAATCAGGCTGAGCACGGTGACTCAAACCTGTAATCCCAGCACTTTGGGAGGCTGAGGCAGACAGATCAACTGAGGTCAGGAGTTTCAGACCAGCCTGGCCAACATGGTGAAACCTCATCTCTACTAAAAATACAAAAATTAGCCGGGCGTGGTGGTACGTGCTTGCAGTCCCAGCTACTCAGGAAGCTGAGGCAGGAGAACCACTTGAACCGGGAGGCGGAGGTTGCAGTGAGCCGAGATCATGCCATTGCACTCCAGCCTGGGCAACAAGAGTGAAACTGTGTCTCAAAAAAGGAAAAAAAGAAAGGGAAAGAAATTATTTAAAATATAGTTTATAAAAGTAGAAATCAAAAGTACCATAAAGTGGTATATGAAAGAGTTTTATTTAAAAGGAAGCCTAGGACCAATATAATTTTAGTTTGTTTTACGAAGAATCACTTTTTATTTCCATTTCATTCACGATGGTTGCTTTGACTTTTAGAGTACTAACTGCTGTTTTAAGTACTAAGTGTAAGTACTAAGTTAGTACTAGTGTAAGTGCTAAGAATAGATTCTTACCTATTCATACCAAAAGGAACAAACCAAACAAACAAAAACAAAACTGTACAGGACAGTTAAATTCATGACAAAACATCTCCAGTATGTACATTTAAAAGAAAACCTGGCCGGGCGCGGTGGCTCACGCCTGTAATCCCAGCACTTTGGGATGCCAAGGCAGGTGGATCACGAAGTCAGGAGATCGAGACCATCCTGGCTAACGCAGTGAAACCCCATCTCTATCAAAAATACAAAAAAATTAGCCAGGTGTGGTGTCAGACGCCTGTAGTCCCAGCTACTCAGGAGGCTGAGGCAGGAGAATGGCGTGAACCCAGGAGGCGGAGCTTGCAGTGAGCCAAGATGGTGCCACCGCACTCCAGCCTGGGTGGCAGGGCGAGACTCCGTCTCAAAAAAACACAAAAAGAAAACCTGATTTATAGCCCTCCCCACCACAACCCTTACTCCCCCTTGGTTACAGAAAAGAGGTAGAATGATAATATGGTAACATAACTCTAAACTACTGAGTTACTTAAGTCCCTAGCTGATAAAGCCAGGCAACAAGTTTACTTGCTCTGACCTGCCTTTTGTAAACATTATTAGTTAGAAAATTCAGGGTCAGCACTATTCAAAGATTCATTTAGCTTAACATTCTTGAACATTAAGCCCAAAGGAATAAGAATAAAACATTTAAATGCAAAGTAAATATCCTGCCATTGAAGATAAAAATTTCCTAAATATAAACAGAGGAGTACTTTTCAAGTGATCAAATGGCACAGTACACAAATTCAGCACATTATATTGAAAATAATTTATCAAATTCCCAAAGGAGACAAATTCACATCTCTTGCATATACTACTAGTAAACGTAAAGCACATCAATTTACAAATAAAAACCATTAAAGTTTTCCCAAAGAAAAATTGTATGTATCTTTTTATACGACAATTACAGAAAAAATGAGCTAAAACTGGATGAGTTAAATCACAAACCTGAAACTGTGGAATCGTCATTTCAAAGCACTTGGTCTTTACTTGGCCTGAATGATCTGCCACTTTTAGCATCACTGCAACATAAGGATACTTAAGAGATCTGCAAGTGTCTGAGCTCACAGCCATACCCAGTTTCCACTGAAAATCTACAAGCTTTAATAAGACAGAATAATATATTAGTAGTAACATTACCTGGAATGCAGATATTTATTCAATTTTACTGCACTCATACTCAACTTTTAGTTTCAACGTTGGTCATATTTAAAGAAAGTATCTTCATTTTAATATTGCTAGAGGAACAATAACCAAATGAAAAAATGGAGAGGTAATAAGGGATATAAACGCAGTTAGAAAACACCACGGTAGTTAAAAATGGAAAAAAGCAAAAAGTGGGGGAAAATAAAATCTCCCCCCCAATGTATAATGGAAGTGGAAGGAAGATGTGGCAGTACTGGTTTCCTTTAACAGGCTTGGAGTATCTTTTAGTTCACTTCGCTGTTCCATGCTCAAGCCTTACATTAGCATGTATAGTGATAAGGTAATTTTGGATTTCATCAGTGTTCATGACAGATATACACCCTGGGTGATGTGCTATGCAGTTTACATGTATTAAATACCTTACTGAATCAACGTAACATTATAGGTTATTGTTTCCACTTTGTAGATGACAAAAGCCAACTTCAGAGAGCTTAGGTAATGTGCATAAGGTCACACATTTCTGGAATCAACTGAAACCAGTCTGTTTGACTCCAAAGATGACATGCTTAGTGACTACTGGTTGCCTCAATACTTTTTAATCTAATTCCTGTCAATGACTGCTAAATGATGCCATGGCATAAAACATGCAGCTGTTAATAGTGCCTCAAAAACATGACTCTAAAACATAAAACACAAGGATAAAATACTGTCTGTCTTGTTTCCAAAGCTTAGCCTGATACATAGCAGGCACTCAAAAAGCATTTGCTCACTGACTGATACCTTTTTCTTTAAAACTAATGCTCACTGGGCAAAAATCTTCACTTGTTAATACATTTCTTCTTGTAAAAGTTGGGATTTTTGTAAATCCCACCATGTATCCTACCACGTATCTATCACAAACACTGATGAAATCCAAACCACCTTATCACTATTTACACTAATGTAGTATTTGAGCTTAAGGACTATGGTGAGGAAAAGAAATGGAATGGTTCCCATGTATGCCTCAATCAACCATGGAAGTTATATAACCCATCTTCTATTTTAGGACTTTTGGGGTATGGAATAGGGGAAGGCATTGTAAATCTCCCATTTTTATAAAAGGGGGACCAAAAATTCCTCCTATCTCAGACTTGCTTTGCACCAATCTCCTACAGCATTAAGTCCAAGCTGGTGCTGACAAAAGGTTAACATCTTTTATAAGTAAAAAGATTGTATAAATTCATTTTAAAGAAAAGTTCTCCATATAAAATTAGAGAAAGGCAAATCACAAAATAACTACAAATTTCTAATAAACCTATGAAAATGTGCTCACCTTAAGAAACAAGGAATTAAAGCCACAATTAGATACCACTATACAGCTACCAAAATGGCAAAAATTTAAGTCTGAAAATTCCAAGTATTGACAAGGAAGGACGTGAGGCAATGGGAAGTGTCACATGCTGTTGGTGAAAGAATAAACTGGGCCAATCTATTAAAGAACTGACTTTAGCTAGTAAAACTGAAGCTACGCATACTGTGATCCAAATTCTACTAGGGACAGAACTTAGAAAAACTTGTGAATGTGTACACAGGATACATATATGAAAATGTCCCTAGCAGCTTTATTCGTAATAGCCCTAAACTGAAAACCCAAATGTTCATCAGAAATAAAATGGATAAATGAAATGCTACACAGCAATGAAAATGAACTTCAGTTACACGTAAAACCAAAAATGTTAAAACAAGGCCAAAAGTTATGATTCTGTTCACTTAAACTTGAGAAAGAGGTGGTAAAACTATAAAGAGAAGAATATGCCTATCCTCTTGGGGTGGAGAGAAGTGGGCACTGATTGAAGAGGAGCATGTGGTGGGCTTCTGGGGGACTGGTAACACTTCATTTATTGACTTTTGCTTGTGGTTACATGAGTGTTCACTTTTAGATAATTCATTAACTGTCCATATTTTGTGCACTTTTTGCATATATACTCCAGAGAGAGCAATATAAGTGAGTGAGTACATTTCTGGTTGAAAGGAAGACTTTATTGTAGCCTAGGGAGTTAAGGGAAAGCTTTACAGAAGGCTTTAAGCTCCATTTTGAAGAATAAACAGAACAGGAATTGAGAGAAAAATGTGTTTTATTTATATATGCCATAAATGCACACCTAGCAAAGAATACATGCTTAATAAATATTGGGTGGAACCAATTACAGATGAAAAGAGTCAAAATTTGGCTTAGGGATAGAACATTTATCTATCTTAAAGTAGACGGCTCTTGTAAGGAAATATGAAAAATAAAGTTGACAAAAGTGATCAAAAAGCCAGTAATTCCTTGCAAATTGAGCTTTCAGAGGTTTTCACAGTACTTTTATATCCTTTATCTTCCTATGGAAAACTTATCACATTAAGTCACTTAAACTTTCCCTGTAGGCACTAGGGACTCACTGAAAGTTTTTCAATAGAGAGAATGATATCAAAATATTGATTAATGGATATTCAGGCTGGACACGGTGGCTCACACCTGTAATTCCAGCATTCTGGAAGGCCAAGGCAGGTGGATCACTTGAGTGCAGGGGTTCCAGACCAGCCTGGGCAACAGCCCTGTCTCTACAAAAAATACAAAAGTACAAAAAGTAGCCAGGTGTGGTAGGGCACACCTGTAAGTCCCAGCTACTTGGGAGAATGAAGTGGGAGGATCACCTGAGCCCAGGAGGTCAAGGCTGCAGTGAGCTGTGAGCATGCCACTGCACTCCAGCCTGGGCAACAGAGCGAGACCCCCAACTCTGGGGGGAAAAAAAAAAAAAAAAAAAGAGAGAGAGAGATTCATCTGGTGGCAGCAGAACATAATAATCCAAGTCTGAAGTTATATAAGTGCCTGAACTAAGCTGGTGACAAGTAGGACTAAACCGATCATAAGAAAGATGTATTGCTAGGTCTTGATGATTGCCTACAAGATACAACTATAGTTGTTCACAGAAAATTATAAAAATTTGACCTTGGATAACTGGGAGAATGCTGAGGTATCCAGTCCGAAAGTATCATTATGAGATGATACTAGGGATATCTCAACAGGAATGTTCAGAAATAGGTTAAAAATCCAAAAACAGAATTCAGCAGAGTTCATGAGTAGAGAGTTTTAATTCCAGTTCAATAGTGACATCCAAAAATTGAACCTCGAATTCATTTTCCTTTTTTTTTTTCCAGACAGGATCTCAGGCTGTTGCTCAGACTGGAGTGCAGTGGCATGAACATGACTCACTGTAGCCTAGACCTTCTGGGTTCAAGCGATTCTTCTACCTGGGCTTCCCTCCCCTAAATGTTTGAGTAAGAAATAAGTAAGCAATTTCTTATTCTTAACAGTATTTAGACTCTACAACTCCTTGATGGAAGAAGTTCCATTTTTACCATCCACATGAAAGTGGCAGAGTAAAAAGGTGCCTATTTGTTTCTCAGAATCTGAAATAAAACTAGAAGATTTCAAGCAGAAAAGCAAAGAAGGCGTGCAATGCTGAGTTCCACTGACTCTTAAAACAGTGAAATTGTCAGGTGAGGAAACAGGGAGACCTGCCATCAAGACACCGTGCAAAGTCAGTCTTCACAATTGAAAGAAAGCTAGGACTAGGTTTATGAGATAATTTCCAAAATTCTAACCTCAACATTTAAATGCAAAATGAAAGCAAACCTTCTAATAATTGTGGTTTCATCTTAAGTAGGAGTGAACTGCAAAGATTTTAAAAATACAAGAATATAAAAGAAAAAATCAGAACAGAGAACACTTACCACTATGAAGAATGTTAAGAATGAAACAATGTATGGCAGCCCCAAAATTACTGTATGATGAAGTACTGAAAAAGGAAAACATATAAAGAAACGAAAAGCTAGTAGTAAAAAAGAAAATATAAAAACATCCAGAAGTAAAAAGAATAATCAGGAAGTAAATATATAAAAAGGTAAACAAATTAGCTGTCGTCACACTAAAAATTGATGTGGAGGCTGAAGTTACTAGTAATATAAAAACATGACTATAAAAACTATCTATAAAATTGGCAATTCCTATATGTTTCGAGTAAGGGAGGGAGACCTCACTATTCAGTATATACTAAGCAACACTATATTCTAAGCATTAGGGAAGTCAAAAATAAAGCATAGTTCCTGACCTTCAGAATTCTAGTGGGGAAGGCAGACAATAAACAAAAGTATAATAAAATGGTAGCATTATGGTGTGACAAAACACAGGGTAAGGTGACAGGGTGACAAGAAAGGCTATTTAGATAGAACCTGGGAAGACCTCTTTCATGTGGCTTTTGAACAGAAAGAGACTCTAATAAAATGAAGAAAAAGCCACAGGATCTGGAGAAAAGAACATTCTGGACTGAGGGAGAAGCATGCTTGGTGTGTTCAGGGAACAATGAGGCCCAGGTAGCTGGAGGGGCATGAGCTAGGAAGAGTGGTAAGAGATAAGGAATCCATCTTTGAAGGGCCCTGTAGGCCACAGTAAATACCTACGACTTTTTTCCAGTGTGACAAGAACCTCTTAAAAAGCTCTGAGTAGCAGAGATACCTGGTCTAACTTGGATTACAAAAAGCTCATCCAGACTGCCTGGTGAGGCACAAAGTTTAAGAAAGTTGGGTGACCCTGTTACCAGGCTACTGCAGTATTCCAGGAAAGAGAATGGCGGCTTGAACCCAGGTGGCAGCAAGAGGTGGTGAATTTAGAGCGAGAGAAAACAATATGCTGATACGACTGTATGTCAGGTGTGAGGGAGAGATGGGAGCCTGCAGCAATCCATCAATTTCAGTTCAGGCACTGATTTCTGTGGAGCTTCTGCTCTAAGTTGTGGTTCTCTGTCTTCGCAGTCTGTCTCACCAATTCGGGGGACGGCAATTCACCCTGTGATCGCGCTTCTCTGACAGATCCAAGAGGAGTTGTTCATTTTTCAGTTTGTTCAGCTTTTCCTTGTTGCTAGGACAGGGTGATGACTTCCAAGCTCTTTATGAGCTGGACCACAAAGTAAAAGTCTACCACTTTTTGTATTTTCTCCATAAAACTTTTAAATATCTTTTGTTAGATTTATTGCAAGGTACTCTGTAATTTTTCTTTAAGAGATGGAGTCTCACTCTGTAACTCAGGCTGGACTGCAGTGGTGTAATTAAAGCTCACTGCTGCCTCAAACTCCTGGGCTCAGGAGATCTTCTCGTCTCAGCCTCCTGAGTAGCTAGCACTACAGGTCTGTGCCTCCACACCTGATTTTTTTATTTTTATAGAGATAAGCTCTTGCTATGTTGCCCACTCTGGTCTCAAACTGCTGGCCTCAAGCAATCCTCCCAAAGCCCTGAGCTTACAGTCGTGAGCCACCATGCCCGGCCTATAGTTTCTTCGTGTTGTAAATGACATCTTTAAAATTATATTTTCCAACTCTTTTTGTCTGAACTAAATAACATTCAACAATGGAATCACCTTGCTGAACTCTCACATTAAATCTAATAACCTGTTTGTAAATGATCTTGGCTTTTTCTATGCAAACACTCATAATCTGTGAATGACTGTATAGAAGGATGTGCAGTAGGCTGAATAATGGCCCTCCCAAACATGTCCACATGCTAGTCCTCAAAATCTATGAATATGTTACCTTAGGCAACAAAACAGTATTGGTAGATGTGACAAAATTAAGGACTTGGAGATGCGGAGATTTTCCTGGATTATCCAGGTGGGCCAAATGTAATCGAAACGGTCCTTATAAGAGGGAGGAAAAAGGGTCAGAGTCAGAAGGCAATGTGACAATGGAAGCAGAGGCTGGAATGATGTGCTTTGAAGATGGAAGCAGAGGCCACAAGCCAAGGAGGAAACAATCTCCCCTACTGCCTCAGACGGAACACAGCCCTGCAGATACCTTGATTTTAGCTCCGTACGACTAGTTTAGGACTTCTGACCTCCAGAACTAGAAGATAATAAATTTGTGTTTAAGCCAAAAAGAGTTCAACTTAAAAAACCCCATAATTAGTATAATTCTGTTTCAGAATATCTTAAATACAAAACTTAACGTAAGAGAATGGATAAAATGACTTACGAAAGATCGACTCAAAATGCACTAAGTCATATAACTAAGCAAAGCCAGGTAAGATGGTTGACAGCTGACTTCCCCTACTTCCCAGGAATCCTCAAAAGCAAAGTCAGTTAGAGAAAAATGACAGACAGCAGTCAATGGACACCTCTCTCAGCCCCTGTATTCTAATTATTTCTTATCTCATCCCTTTCTTACATTTTGTATGGAATTGGGTAACTCCTGGCCTAAAAATACTCTAGTTTTAGTATTCCTATTCTGGGAAGTGTTATAAATTAGTTGCCTACAAATAGTTTATTAGCTAAAACAGCACAGCAGCACTGGAAAAGGAAATGGGGCTAACATATACTTTAAAAGTCAAATTCATATTCCTAGCATTATAAATGCATACTCTAAAAGGCTAAAATGCTATACTTCATCTTCAAAAATAACATTTTTTAGAGACTAAGAAAATGTTTGCGACGCTATCTCTGAAAATTTTCATAACTTCTTCTATATCCACCACACTTTAAAATACGGTGTTCCTAGCTTCGAATAAATGACGCCTAATCAAAGCCCAACAATCCCTGATCTGCATTCTTCGGGCTAGTGCGGGGTGAGGAAGAGGAGCTTTCATTACAATGGCAACGGCTACTGGCTCTGATGCAAAGGAGAAGGAGCAACGCAAGGAGGCGGACTGAAGGTCACCGGCTCCCGAACACAAGACTCGGGGAGACCTGAGGAAGGCTCAGGGTGGCATGGTCTCGCAGCCGCGGGAGGCGGGCCGGCGGAGGACAGGGCGGGGCGGCCGCTCACTCACCTGGTTGGTGACCTGAAACGGAAGCAGAAACACAATTTAGAGAAACATCTTTCTTGCTCCAGAGCCTCGCTGCCCGCTCTCCTTCCCGGTTGGCACTGACCTCGGACTTAGCATCCAGCGGCGGCTCGCTAGACGCCTCCATGGGCAGCGTCCGCTACTTGCGCCCCGGACTCGAGAGAACGCCCCCGACCAGCACTTCCGCTTCCACGTCCTGCCTCTCGCGGCCTGGCGCATGGGGCGGACGTAGCGGGGGAAGCTGAAAAAAATCATCTTTATGTGACTCACACTTTTTCTTAATTAAACATCAATTTTAAAGATATATTGACCTAAAAGGAAATTATGTTATGGAAAAAGGCCAAAGATTTGGAAGATACTTTGAGAAGGGAAGCGCTAATTAAATTTATGATGCCGCTTCCCCCATCTAACGCTGCCACGTGGGCTCTTCCAATCTGGAGCGGGGCGGGGCAAAGCATCCCGAGGCACCCGTCCTCAATCCCAACCAAATTCGAAAGCATCTGGGCGACCACACCCCCGGCCCTGCAAGGGAAGCCTGTGGGAACCACAGTTTTAGGATGAGCTGCTTCGCCGGCCTAGCTGAGGGCAGGGGATGCTTTCCATTATCCCTGCTATTCCTCTTGCATCCCAGCCCTCAGTCTGGCTGCGGAATACCTTCTCATCCTGTCTTCCCACTTCTTTCCTACTGACCTCAAATCCATGCTACACAAAGTATCCACAGTGATTTTTATTTCCCGTCAAGTTTTTATTTTGAAAATTTTTTTTTAGAAAAATTGCAAAAAATAATTCAATGAACACCTATATACCCTTCATCTAGATTCACCAACTGTTCGCATTGTACACATTTGCTTTATATCGGCTTATATTAAGGATGATACTTCGCTCCTAAATGCTTGAGCATGTTGTCTCCTAAGAACTAGGACATTCTTCTAAATAACCACAATTCAACTATCACATTCAGGAAATTTAACATTGATAAAATACTATTCTCTAATAGGCCAAATTAAAATTTCTCCACTTGTTTCAACAACATTCTTTAAAGTTATTCCCTACCCCATCAACAAACAGATTCTAATCAAAGGGTCGTCTTGAATTTGGTTATCACGTCTCTTTAGTCTCCTCTAATCTAGAACTGCACCGGTAAAGGGTCATTAGGACTGTGTTCCTCAATGAAGGTTCCGGGGTGGTGGGGTTTGGGTGGAGGACGGGGGTGGGGGTGCGGATCTGCTTTCAAGCTCTTTCAGCTTGTTGGCAGAGTTCAGTTCTGTGCAGTTTCCTTGCTGGCTTTCAGATGGGGATTCCCAGCTCCTAGAGGCCATCTGCATTCCTTGGCTTGTGGCTCCTCCTTCCTCCATCTTCGAAACGAGGAAGGGCACCTCAAGTCCTCCTCACACTTTAAATCTCTCTGATCTCCCTTTCTGTATGATCTCTCCTGTTCCTGTTCCTTCTTTTGCCACATCTCTCTGACTCTAGCCTGAAAAAATTCTCATTTCTAAGGGCTGAAATAATTATTAGATCAGGTATAACCAAATAGTTAAGAATAACTTTTTTTTTTTTTTTTTGAGACAGAGTCTCACTCTGTCACCCAGGCTGGAGTACAGTGGCGCAATCTAAGCTCACTGCAACCTCTGCCTCCCAGGTTCAAACAATTCTCCTGCCTCAGCCTTTTTGAGTAGCTGAGATTACAGACATGCATCACCATGCCTGGCTAACTTTCGTATTTTTAGTAGAGATGGGGTCTCTCCATGTTGGGCAGGCTGATCTCGAACTCCTGTCCTCAAATAATCCACCCACCTCGGGTCTTGGCGTCCGAAAGTACTGGGATTACAGCCATGAGCCACCGTACCTGGCCTCTTTCTATCTTAAGGTACATAAATTTTAATTATGTTTATAAAGTCCCTTCAGATCAATACCTAAATTACTGTTTCAATGAGTAATCAAGATGGAAATCTTTGGGGGAGGGCATTTTTAGAATAATGCTTACCTCAAATACCCTCATAGGTTGTTGGAGAATTACATTAGTTAATGCATGTTAAGCACCTAAAAATGTCCCTGGCATGTAGCACTCAGATACTAGGCCAAAAAACGAAAAACAAACAAACAGAAACCCCCACTGACTCAAAGTTATTGGACGTGATTAAATGTACTAATTAGCTTGGGAGGATAGTCCCTGAGTGAATCAGATGATTTCTTCTCTAAGGAAGTCAGATGAAAAGACAGAACACTGTGGTGCATCTAGCTGGTCAGTGCATTGGTTCATTTTGCCAGGAAATCTGTTTTTTTTTTTTTTTTTTTTTTTTGAGACAGAGTCTCGCTCTGTTGCCCAGGCTGGAAAGCAGTAGTGCGATCTCACCTCACTGCAACCTCCAACTTCCAGCTTCAAGCGATTCTGCCTCCGCCTCCCAAGTAGCTGGGATTACAGGCGCATGCCACCATGCCTAGCTGTTTTTTTGTATTTTAGTAGAGATGCAGTTTTACCATGTTGCCCAGGCTGGTCTTGAACACCTGAGCTCAGGCAATCCACCCACCTCGGCCTCCCATTACAGGCATGAGTCACCATGCCCAGCCCCAGGAAATCTTTTTCTTGAGTTCTTGTTGTCATCATGGTAAGGGGGTGGTAAATACACACACACACACACACACACACACACACACCCTTTAACTTTGTAAAAATGCTTCAAAAAGGTGAAAAGATATGTATTTTAAAAGGTAATTTTTGTTATTTCTTTTTATTTTTCATGCATTTCTTTAAAAACTGTTTATTATTGTTCTAATTCAACAGAGTGCACTTCAAAAACCTATCGATCTGATTAGGGGAGAGTAAAATGTCATTAGAATGTAGGGCAATCTCTGCCAATTGTTACTCCAGCAACACATGTGATAAACTGTTTATGTTTCAGACCTCCATCTTACAAGAGATCACTTACACAAACTTCGCAGTTGGAAAACACAGATGTTATGAATAGAGTCAAAAAATGCTAATATTAAAAATGCATGAGTATAATTTTGTTTTATTTTTACGTAATGACATATCAGTAGAGCATATGTCGTAAAATATTTTTGGAGCTCTTACAGTAAGCCTAGTACTATCACATGCATAGGAAGAAATCCATAGAACTATGGCATAAACTCTGATCTCATGAGCATTATGGTGTAATGTAGAAAACGAAATTGATACTCAGGAAGCAGGCAATGCTTCAATTTAAGTATTTATTTTAAGGTTTTTTTGTGCCAAGTGATATGCAGTTGTCCCTCAGTATACTCAGGAGATTGGCTCCAGGACCAATTAAGGCAGATGACAATGTACCAAAATCTGCATATACTCAAGTCCTGCAGTCTGTCCTGCTGAACTTGAGTGTAGGAAAATTCTGCCTCCCTATTTGCGGGTTTAGCATCCCGGGAGTATAGCAACTTTGATCTGTGGTTGGTTTTAAAAAAAAAATCTCACCAGCACAGTTCAAACCCATGTTGTTCAAGGGTCAACTGAAATTCTAACTCGAGCTAGCCTAAGCAAAGTAGCAGAAATTATTGTCTCACAGAGGCAGCCTCTGACACGTAGTGGTGGAGCCAGCTGCAGGGTCAACAGAATTGTGAGGTTTGAATAGTAAAAGTGCCCCATCTCCGCTTCTCAGTTGTGGTCCAGCTTTCTGCCTGTCTACTGCCTTCGGTCTCTTCAGCTTCACCATATGTTGTTGGAGAGTAGTGTGTATATATAGACATATGACTACCAACATCTCTGGGTTCACAGCCTTATGACTCATGATCCAAGGAGAAAGAGGAAGCTGCCCATCCATCTCAATTCTCAGAGAAGGACTCTAGTTGATCTGCTTGGACTACTACTGGGTCTGGAGTGATGTGTTATTATTTTTGCCCATGCTGTCTGCTGTGTTCATAAGGGGTAGAATTGTGTGATTGGTAGAGTCACTGGAAGCAAAAGGGGTGAAAAGACATGCTCTATAGGAGATGGAGGTGAGAATGATGCAACAAAGCTTGGATGAAAATATACTAGGGAAACAAAATAAATGTGCACTCAACATATTTACTATACTGTATTACAATGCACTATCCTGTGTAGTCAATGGATATGGTATGCAGACTAATGGCCCCCCCAAATATGTTACTTTCTAATACCCAGAATTTATGAATATGTTATGCTGCATGTTTAAATAACAGAGGCTCTCTAAAAGAAAAGATTTATTCGCGCATAGGGCACTGCAGTGGAAATACATATGCCATAGTAAACTATGTGCGTATTCAAGGAGGTAAAGGAAGACAAAGGTTTTCAATGGAAAAATTAGGAGGATTACATAATTGTTTTGTGATAATTATCCTTGCCTACAAGTATTAATAACAAGAGTGATGCCAGTCAGCGGCTGGACAGGCAGTTGCTGGGCAGATGACCTTGCAAATATATTTTTTGTGTAAGGGTGCAACGGCCTTTGTGCAAGGTTGTTGTTTTGGCAGAGTCTTTTGTGATAGTTTTTGTTATCTGGCATTTATGCATGAAAGCTCTCTCATGGCCTTCCCCAGCTCTATTTGTCAAGGTTTCTTTTCCTTTTTATGATACAGAGTTTTGCTCTTGTTGCCCGGGCTGGAATGCAATGGTGCGGTCTTGGCTCACTGCAACCTCTGCCTCCTGAGTTCAAGTGATTCTCCTGCCTTAGCCTCTCAAGTAGCTGGGATTATAGGCAGGCACCACCATGCCCGGCTAATTTTGTATTTTTAGTACAGACAGGGTTTCACCATATTGGTCCGTCTGGTCTCCAACTCCTGACCTCAGGTGATCCACCTACCCCAGCCTCCCAAAGTACTGGGATTACAGGCGTGAGTGACTGCACCTGGACCTTTTTTTTATTTTTAACACAAGTGACTCCATTATGATTCTTAACAACTTTCACAATTACATAAAAAGGGGGAATTAAGGTTGCTAATTAGCTGACTTTAAAAGGAGGAGAGTTTATTGGATTACTCAGATGAGTCCAATGTATTCACAGGGTCCTTAAAGATGAAAAGTAGAGGCAGAGGAGTTAGAGTCAGAGAGAGAAAGAGAGTGTGTTAGAGTGATAGATTCCATGTGAGAGACTCAGCCAGCCTTTGCTGGTTTTGAAGACAGAAAGAGGCCAAGAGCCAAAGAAGGAAGGCTGCTTCTAGAAGCTAGAATGGGCACATTAGCAAAGACATGGAATCAACCTAGAGGCCCATCAGTGGTGTACCTGATTAAAGAAAATGAATATATACACC